TTAATTATAATTTTAACTAATTTTTTATTAGTTATTTTAAATACAGAATTTTTTATTTTGGTAATTCTTAAAAATATATTTTAAAAAATAATGTAATTTATTGGGAATATATACATATTTTCCTGTGAATTTACATGGAAATATTCAGAAATTTAAGGAATCTTTTTTAGATAATTTATCTTTTTTAGTTTTTAGATTTAAAAAAAATTGTCGTTTAAAAATGCAATAAAGTCTACACTGCCCTATACTCTATCAAAGATTTTCGATATTTTTTATCATTTGACCCCTTAAGACCCCCCCTAAAATCCAAAACTTTATATGTAAACATTTCTACTGTATAATATACAGTGTCTATAATGTATTAAGTTCTCATTAAATATTAATTAATTGTAATTACTTTCTTTTCATGAATTTTTATATATATTACATTATATAATATATACATTATGTATATACAGTATGTACTGTATATACTATAATACAAATTTAAATTAAATATTTATGGTTTAATAACTATGTGAAAATTTTAGTTTTTATTTTTAATTAATTTAATCTCAATTGGTTTTAAATAACATTACGTTAAGTAATATATAATACATATATAGTATTTATAATTATAATATGCAATCAACTTTTAATATGTAAGTGCATGGATACCAGATTATAATTATTTTATTTAAATATTACTGCATTATCGTAAAGATTTATATATTTGTATATATAAAATAATAATTATATATATATATATATATATATATATATATATATATATAATAAAATAAATATAGTATTTTTTAAATAATTATTGCATTATTTTTAGATTATAACATACAATATTAAATTAAATAATTTATACAATATATAATGAAAATAAATTTATATTATATTATTAAAATAAATTAAATTAAAACATCTCAAAAGTGTAAACACTAATTAATTATTGGAAATATAATTAGTTAATATTATTTTAAACATTATTTTTTTACTGTATTATATTTCATATATATTTTATTATTGTGGGTTTATTATTATTATTATAAATATACAACTTATTTTAGTATTTTACAATTGTAAGTTTTGTATTGATTTTAAATCAATTATATAAAACTTTTTAAATTTTTTTTAGAAAATTGATATTTATATATATATTATATAATAAATAAAAAACATTTTAATGGTTTATAACATTATAACATAATATATAGTATGATATAAAGTATAGTATATTCAGAATTCATATAAAACCAAAATATATTCATATTTCATATTTTTAACATATTTTACAAAAATTTTATTACTGCTTTTAGCTTGTTATTTGAATATAATTATGATATTATCATAAATTGTAAGTTTTTATAATTTTATTAATAAATTCTCTAAAAGCAAAAAACAATGAAATATAAGACAAATCTTTTTGTTGACAAATGAAAACATTTGTTTGTCTCTAACTTATTGTATAAAAATATTGTATAATATTATAATTATAACTTATATTATACTAAATTTAATAATATTAAATAACTAAAATATTATATATATATCAAATTATATAATTTTTATTTTATATGGTAATTGTGACTAAGATTTATACAATGGTCTTAACATTGTCTATAGTTATATAATAATAATTTAATAATATTTATAACTACTGTATATAACTAGTGTTGGCAAAAAAAGAGAAATTAAAAAAATAATAGAGAAGTTTCTAGAAAGTTTCTAAAAGAAATTTCTATCTATGAGATCCCCATGTTAATTTTCTTTTTCTCGATATATGTTATCATGTAACAATACATTGTTTTTACAAGTAATAATTAAATATTAGTATTAATATTTTAATTATTAATTAATTTAATTATCTTAAATTCTTATATATAATAAAATGATTATTAAAATTTTACAAAACTGATTATTATTAAATAATTATTTTACATATAGGTATCCCATTTTGTATAGTAGTGTATAGCTATAGATAAGGGGATCCCATAGTATAACAATAAAGTTAAATTTATATAGAAATTTATTCCTGAGAAATTTTCTAGAAACTTTCTATTTGTCCATCTCCCTCTCTCTCTCTCTCTCTCTCTCTATATATATATATATATATATAACTAAATAAAATACCTATATACTCTATATACTAGATTTATAAGTAAAATAGATGAGTTTAATATTTAAAACTTGTTAAATATTTATAAATGAAAGTTAAATAAAATGTTTAAAACAGTCATTAAGAGAGAGAGAGAGAGAGAGAGAGAGAGAGAGAGAAATGTCAATAAATTGCATGAATTTAATCAAACACTACTAAAATGTTTACCAATTGTTTGCCAAATGCTATTCACGTCAAAGTGTCTCTCTTTTATTCATAACTTTTAGACAAAAGAAATTCTGATAAATGAAAAAGTTTTGTTACAAACAACACACAAATAGTAAAAATTACTATCAAATATCAGAAACCAACAATTTTTTTATTTATACAGTATATATCCCATAAATTTATATAATTTATAGTTAAATTTGATTTGGTTTTTAATGCTTTTAAGAATAAACCGAAAAAAATTGTTGGCTTATATTATTTACACAATTTGTTAGAAATATCTCTAATTTCAAGTCATATCACTTATGAATGAATGAACTTATTTGTGTCAATGAATTTGCTTCTCAGTTCATATCTATATATTTAATTCATATACTCTATATATATAACGGTATATATTATGTAATACTGTATTCAATATACAGTATATTATTATTAATAACTTTGCAATAAATCATAAATACTGGTATTACATATTGCTGTAAGTGAGCAAATATACTACAGTATACTTGTATATGACATGTATAAACGTGTGACAACTTAATTAAATTTTTATATAATTAAAAGTAAATACTGTATAAATACTAATTTTATTTGTTTTTAGTATTTGAAAACTATTGTTTTATTTAAAATTTATATATAAAAATTTTTGATTAAAATTTAATTTAGCATTATTAGTATTTATATTGCACAACAGTACTCAAAAAAGATTTTTAAAAATTTAATTACAATGGCATATATTGTATAGAAATGGCAAACAATTGTAGAAAAGTGCAAATCACTTGAGATTGCATTTTGATTGTATTAAATCAGATGCTATTTTTGAATAAATTTCAAAACAATATATCGCATTACTATTCAAATTAACTAATTGTAATAAACAGTGGAGTGCTTTTCAATTAACAGCCAAATGATTATATTATATATATATTTATAATTTTTGCAAATTAATCAAAAATTTAATTAAACGTTTAATATAATGAAAAATTTGTTTTAGTTCAAAATTAGTATTCAATGTTTATTAATTTAATGATTGTTTTACAGTCTAAATAAATATATATACATTAATAAAAATATACAGTTTAAATAAATAAAATAACAGTGAAAAAATTGGTTGCATTATTTTGCATTAATATTGGGTTAAACTTTTTAAAATAAATAACTTTTAAATAAATTGAGAGAAATGCAGAATATATTAATAACAGTTGTTTTTAAAAAGAGATTTTTTTGACACAGTTATGTCAACTTAGCTAACAGTTTATACAAATTAAATAAACACAACGTATTAATATATCCTTAAAAATTGATTTAAATATCAAATCTTAAGGTTGCATTGATTTTAAAAAAGTTATTTAGTGTTATAAGTTTTCTTAAACCTAATAGAGATATTAATGTCAATAAAAACCAATTATGTACAATATGTGTGTATAGATTAATTGATGAGAAACTTATTTTTGTTACAATAAATTAATTGATTTAATATTAATTAACGAATTAGTGGTTTTTTATATACAGTATATATAAAGCATTGATTGAAGATCTGTAAGAAAACAAATTGAAAACAAAAATTAATTTAAATAATGAGATTTTGTCCGTAAAAGAAATGTGTGAATATAGTATACACTGTAATGTAATGTCTAACTAAATGTAATAACATTATTGAAAACCATACAAAATCTATTATAAGACATGTTTGCTTAAAATTACATATCATTAGTATAATAGTAGAGAGACAGTGAAAAAATACTCATTACTATTGGGAATCGCGTAACTCATAGCTTACTCATACAGTATATACTATATATATATATAACTATAACTGTAATCTCTCGGCTCAGACCCTATCGCTAATTCCTAAGCTATTAAGTGAACAAAAATCTAATATCACATCTTTAAGTGTTTTTCTTTGCACTGACTTTTTTATTTTTGCTAACTTTCATTAATATATTAATATATATATATATTTATACATAAAAAAGTATTTAACTAAATGGTCATAACATTACTGAAGTACTAAATGAAATGCAGTAAAATTTAACATTATATAATAAGAGTAAAAATATTTTTTTTTATCTTTTATTTTGTATTAGGAAAAACCAAAGTAACAAACAATTCAATAGACATTTTTCATTGTGTGATATACACTGTATATAAATTGTTTCTTAAAAAATACATGAGATTAGGAACCAATCCTTTTGACAAATAAAATTCATTTGTCTTTGTGTTAGATCGCTGAGGGAAAGGGATATCGATATCAACTATACCTTTGAAAGCAAGTAATCAATGAATTTGATTCAATATAGAGATATCTTTTCTTTTTTATTTACTGTACATCAGTATTACTTAAAAGAGTTGCAAACAATTTATAGCTTTTAATAAGTACTGTATTTATATAAAATGTATTTATATATATATAATATTATATACAGTATATATACAGTATATCTATAAAATATTATTTATTACAAACATAGTAACATATAACTTAGTAAATATTGTGTATTTCTATATAAATTATATATAGAAATATAGATTTGCTGTTTTATAGCTAACGGTTCTCTAAGTTTAGTGATAACTATGTATTAAATTAAAGTATAGTATTTTGAGTGAAACACAGACAGACTCACCATCAGAGCTAACAATCAATTTATGGCTCATTTATTGAACGCCAAAATTATTGTCATCTTTAATGGTTTCCTTGTGTTGAACTCCTATTTATTAGTAAATTATTGATGTGATTGTCGTTTATATTGATTTCCGTTTCATTCGTTTCATTCAATATTTCCAATGTTTTGATGTCTGGTCTCTTGTTTTCGTTATTATTATTATTATTATTATGGCTAACGATTATATTGTGACCCACTCTGCCATCACTGGCGCTGACATACATTGAACGAGTCTTTGGCACTAATTTATAGACATTTTCATTGGCATTACTTACAGATAAGGTATCTGACAAGTAATGGCTGTTTCGGACAACATTTGTCGTTACATTTATTTTCGATGTCGTTGTAGTCGATGGCAATGTCATCATCGGTGCTGTTGTCGTCGTATTCATTGTATTTAATGAAGTTTTGTTTGTTGTTCTCAACAATAGCTGCGATGAAGAAAACATTTGTTCAGTTTTTTGTCGCTGAATATCATTACTTTGATCGACACTGTCATCGGTATATACGTCCGACTCTTTCAATTTCAAAACAAAATCATTGTTTGCATTGAATCTTATGGTTTGTGAAGAGTTATTGATTTGCATATTAGGATTCCAGAGGAATATGTAATATAATGAAAGCACAATAGCAGCCAAACTGACGGCAAACATATAGCCAAAGACTGTCAAAATGCGGAACAGTTTTCGATTTTTCTTAGATTCATAAATACGCGACGGATTCTGTACTCCCGGGTAATGGATCTCCGATCGCGAACCCGACTGATTACTCATCGATTTAGGCTCCGGTGTGGTTACCGGTGTCGACAAACCTGCCTGAGCTGTATTGGGGCCACAGTTAAGCGATACTGTCTCAGAGACATTGTTTGTAGATATTGTATTGATATCATCACTCATTTTATTACTTGTGACACTCATTTGACAAATAATATTTTTATGTTGAAAACATCACTTATATTATTATTATAATTAACCTTTTACGTAATGCTAAAAAAAATAATTGCTGTTATCGTATAAATTTGCTTTTATTTGATTAACTTTTGATTAGCTTTTAGGACGACTGCAACTAACATGCGGTCGACTAACTGATACATAACAAGAATGCCAATGAATTGTTTGTTCACTTGAAATGAATAGACTATAACACAGAATATTCTTTTCACAGCTTATGTATGAGTGTATTGAAAGAGCTCTCTGTAATAGAGAGTGAAGAGTATTGAGAGCACTGGGATGTTGGCTATGATGTGAAAGAGAGAAAAAGAAAGAGAGAGAGCAATGGGGGTGAACTAAGAGCATGATCACACACACGAGCTAACTGTTCATATATACATCTATTTGTGCTGTTTTTGAGTAAAATTTGTGTCCTAAAGTTAAAGTAGAGCACACATACATTGCATGGACAGAAAGAGAGAAAGAAAGAGAGAGAGAGAGAGAGAGAGAGAGAGAGAGAGGAAGGGATGTAAGAAAAACAATTTGAAATGTCGTTAATATTCCGTAGATTTACAACATTTTTGTTAAAAGACCAGTCAATCAAACTATTTAAGTATTTGATGTGACTTTTTTGTTTGACAATACACTCTTGCTTTCATTATATTTAAACAATAGTCTCACTATTTGTTATATGTTTTAACAACAATAATCCAATTCAATTGAATTAAATCTAAACAAACAAATTGTGGCCAAAAAACATTACACAACTTTTCACTTTCACCTTAACTTTTAGTCTACTATTTCCATGATTTTGTCTCCAAAATGTTGTCTGATTTTTTAATAGATTTACTAATACATGTTATTTACTATCGATAATAATTGTCTAATTCAAGTCACGTTTCATTGCAAATATTGATCTTAAATACAAAATAAAAACTAAAAAACACTGAATGAGACCCAAGTTTATAAAAATTTATTATATGAACACAATTTGAAGTACTTTTATTACATAATATTATAATAAATGTCGACACCGGGCTCTCCCTTTAACTTAGTGTTTGTCAAAACAAAGAAATTTCTTAAAATAGGAAAGTTTTTAAAAGATATTTCTGGCAATGAGTTCCTTATGTTAATCTTGTTTTCTTAATTATTTTTATTTTGTAATAAACCACAAGATATTAATTAATAACTGTATATTTTAATTGATAAAATCTAAAATCATTATTAGTTACAATAAATTATATATATGATTTAATAACAATACTATTAATAATTAATTTCTAATTGGGATCTTATTTGTATTATAAATTATAATAGTATTGCTATATATATATATATATATATATATATATACCCGTATATACATTATATGGTGATCCCATAGTATAATTTACTACTAAAATAATATACAATGTATTAAATTTTATTTTATATTATATATTCTGAGAAATATTCTTAGGAAAATTCATTCAGAAATTTTTAATTGTTTATCTCCATCTTTACCGGACTTTAGCTGTACTACTCATATAAAAACATTAAACTAATTTCTAATTATTTATATATAATGAACACATTATTTTATATTAAAAAAGATTAGTCTTAAAATTAAAATTTATTATTTTATATTAAAACTCAAATTAACACATTTTTGTTAATATTTGTGAATTTCACTAAAACAACACAACAATAATGTTGTGGACATTAATTTTAATCATTAAAGTTGTCAAAAGATTTTTAAAAATAACTAAACATTTTAAAACTTTTTACTCTTCAATATATATTTGGCATTTAATTTATACATTATATATATTTTATTATTTGTTTTAGATCTCGTTGTATTTGCTATTAAAATAAAATAAAACAAAAATTAATGTAAAATTGTTGTAATGCACTAAAATAAAAATTACTTTATCTAAATTAATTTTGAAAACTTTAGTTTTATGTTTTGTTATTTTCTTAAACAAAATAAAATTGTTTAAATAATTGTTTAAATATTTTAATAAATTAGATACAAGAAATTTTTGTACAATTGCAAACTTTTATGTCTGTTATATAGTGAGTTAATTTAAAAAAAAATTATTTTAATAAAATACAATATAGAGTATAAATATTTTATAAAATATTTTTAATTTTTAACCATAAGTTAAATTATTATATCATAAAATCTTTTTCTATTATAATTAAAATACCATTATTTAAAACATTATATTGTATACTGTATTATAAGAAATTATAGCAATAATATAGTAATGAGAAATAAAATAAAATTTATAATTAATTCTAATTAGATATTTAATACTTAATACACAAAACAAAATTATATGAATACTTTAATAAATAAAATAATAGTAATAATAATAATAAAATGTTGTTAAGTTAAATATCAATAAAGTAATAAATAAAATAAAGTTATTGTATATAATTAAATAAGTAATGTTTTTTAAGTGTGTATTAATTGTGTTGACCCTCTAATCACAATCATATCAATACTGACCATACATTTGGTGAGTGTATCAAACAATTAGTTCATCTAATCTTAGACACTGCCATATTATAGACACAGTCAGTAACTGTTTAATCAATCCCTACATTACAATTCAATTGGTAATAAAGCCATCCCTAACATATTGTCTCATAATCATACACTTAAACAACACGTTTAAATAATACAAACAATAATATAGTTTACAAAATTATTAATATGTTATCCAATATTTTAGTTTAAATACAGTATAAAGTACTTCTATTTATTAAATTCAATTTATACTAGTTTTTTATAAATAATAAATTATAAAAATAAAAATTCTAAATAAAAGTACAAAATATGTGACAAAATTTGTAAAACCTATTGGTTTAGATCAATATTTTATATAAAAATTGTTAAATATTACAGGAAATATAATATAACTTAAAGATAACGTGACAATTAAAAAATTTCCTTTTTGATCATATATTCCTGTAATATATTATGTTATAAATAAGCATATTTATAATTATTATAAAATTTATGTACTTTTACTTTTACTAATGTTTAAATAATAAATATGTTTGATTTATTAAAAAATAATAATGTAATTATTTGTAAATTAATATTATTTTAGTGCACTTATAAAATAATAATTGTATTAATTAGTTGAAACATTATTTTTTAGCTTAAATTGATTCACTTTGCTTATGTGAAAATTAATTATAAATTTTTAATTGATTTTGCTTTCAAATGAATAGATTTTTATTTTTAAAGTAATTAAATATAATTTTTATATATTAATTTATTGAAGCTTTATAGAATACAATAACAACAACAAAATTTTCAATTTTTACAATTTTAATAACCAATTTAAATTCAAGTCAACGAGTAAATATGGTACAGTATATACAATTTATTTTTAAAAATTTTATACAAGTTTTTATATATATATTTAACTGAAGCCATATACTGATAATATATTTAATTTTAATAAAGTTATTAAAGCTTAAGATTTGCGTTGAACTTCAATCCAAAAAAAATATCTTAAAAATTGATTGTTAAGTATTACTTAAGATACACAACAAATGCTAAATAATTGATGCTTTTTATTGTATAAAAATCATTTATATGGCTTTTTGTAACAATTATTTATTTTTTTGGAAAAAAACTTTTTCATTCCCATTTTTGTTATATAAAATGGTATATATTTTTTGATAAATTAAAACATTTTTTCAAAGTAAGATATGAATTATTTAGATTTACTATTTAAATGACTCTATTTTAAGTTTTTTGTGTGAATTACAATATTCAAGCAATTAATCACAATTTCTATGTTTTTGTTTAGACATTATAAACACATGCATATAAAGCATTAAATTATAAATTTTTTCATTTTGTGGTCGTTTTTTTGTTGATAAATCTATAATTTTTTTCAACAAATTCTGTATAATTAATGCATTTTCTCTATTAAACAGTAAGACTTGGCTATTAATTTAATAGTTTATTATTACCACAATTTTTATATGTTATTTAAGTCGGATATTGGAATTGATTTCAAATAAAAAATAATCTCCATTATTATTATTATTATATTTTTATGTAAATGAAAACATAAAAAATGCTTAAAGAGTTAAATAATTTAACAAATAAAATAATTTATTATATTTAATATTTAAACTTTATATAATAACATTTTAGTTTGATATAATTATAGCATTAAATATATTAATAGTAATCTTTTAATAATTAAACAATAATATTATTATAATATTGATAAAATTGTAGTGCATTTTATTATTTTTATGACTACAATCTATCACTAAATTGGTATAATTTATCACAAAAAAACTAAAGACTAAACATAAATAAGTGATAGTTTTATTAATAATTTATAAATTAATAATAATATTATTATTAATTATAGCTATAAATAATGATAATATTATTTATTAAATCCATTGGATGTGACGATTATCCAAATGGGTTACGCCATCAATACTATAGGAATTAGACTAAAGTATCGATTGATGGGAAAGACGTAATGAGCGGATGTGTTGTTGAGACGGATGCCATCAGTGCTGCGATTGCTCTGTTCATTGGCACTGATATTATATTCTTGAACTACTCAGCTGTTGATAGAGTTGTGGTAATGGTCTAAATGGCCGCTCTTGACGTCTACTGTAACGCATCCGACAAAATAACACACATTTATATATTTTGATGATATGATCGCCAGTGAGAAAAACACACTTTAAATGCTAATAAAAATGTAAATAATTATATAATTATTCAAATTTTTTGAACAATTTTGTGAAATGGTGTAAATATATTACAAAATTATTTGATTGTATAACCTATCATATCATTAAATTCCCATTTTATTTCTCAATTCTTTAAATGAATATTTATATAAAAATATATTTATGTAAAAATAATAGACTATAATATATTAATATTTAATTGTGCTAATTTATAATAATAATAGTATTAATTTAATGTTAATGTGTAAATATTTAATATATTTTTTAAATCAATATATGTTAATAATATTAATTATAAATTTGTTTGAGATTTTGTGCCAAAATTCTTGATAATTAAATATATAAATCCTTGAATACACAATAAAATAAAAAATGTGTTATATAATGATAAAAATTATTTTAACAATTTCAAAAATAAATTATTGACCAAAAAAAATAAACCAAGAAACTATAATTCCGAGCAAAACAAACAAATATTTTTTAATTGTATATATATATAAATAAACAAATAATTAATCATAATAATTAAATAATAAATAATTTAAATAATAATAACTAATATTAAATTAAACGAACGAAATGGCCTATAATTACCATCGAAGACATATGAAAGCAATGGCCGCCGAGGCGTCCAATTCTAGTGATGCGGACGGAGGGTCGGGTCAGACAAACACTTCCACATCAAATCATTGCGAAGAATGGAATCCAAATCAAATTGTTTACAATAAGGTAACCAAATATTTATGTTTGACAACAAATTTACTTAAAAATCATTGTTTTTTATGATTTGTTTTGAACAGATGGAACAGATAATAGAGCGCATGCAAGACGAACACGAAGGAGTTCCCGTCAGAACCGTTAAAAGCTTTATGTCTAAAATTCCCAGTGTTTTCACCGGTATTTTTTGTGGCCATTAATGCCATATATTTTTGTTTTTAATACTGTATTAATTCTAATTATTGAGATTAATGTTTTTTAAATATTTTTTTGCATCAATTTTTGTTGTTTAGGCACCGATTTGATCACATGGATGATGAAATCACTGGATCTCGAGGACCAAAACGAAGCATTACATTTAGCTAATCTAATGGCATCTCACGGCTACTTCTTTCCAATTGATGATCATGTCTTGAGGTAGAGTCAAATCAAATCAATCAATTGAAACGAGTAGTTTGTAGTTCAATAATGTCTAGTAATCCATGAGATTTACGTTTAAATGAAAGAAATTCTTTGTCATTCAGTGTTAAGTCCGACTCAACGTTTTACAGGTTTCAGACGCCGTACTTTTGGCCATCAAATTGTTGGGAACCAGAAAATACTGACTACGCTGTCTATCTGTGCAAAAGGACAATGCAAAACAAGACACGGCTAGAGCTGGCCGACTACGAGGCCGAAAACTTGGCCCGACTCCAGAAAATGTTTTCTAGAAAATGGGAATTCATATTCATGCAGGCAGAAGCTCAGGCCAAGTATGACTGTCCATTAACACTACTACTATTACATGTCAACTCCTTATCCTTGCAATTATCGATCAATTTATCTTAACTAACAACCAATTAATTATCTAATCTAATATACGAACTCTCTTTTTTAAATATATATCTATAGAGTGGATAAAAAGAGAGATAAATTAGAGCGAAAAGTGTTAGATTCACAGGAACGGGCGTTTTGGGACGTCCACAGACCTGTCGTAAGTTGTTATCAATGTCAACAGTCAGAGCGCCAAACAAACTGATAATTTTTGAACATCTCTTCTTTTTTTGTGTGACAACAGCCGGGATGTGTTAACACAACCGAAATCGACATCAAAAAGGCGTGCCGTATGAACAAACCCATCAAAAGCACGCGCGTCAAGATCTCAACTGTAAGTTCATTAAATATAGTATATTGTTTTTTAATATATAGTTGTATTATAATAATAATAACAATTATTATTATTATCTGACTGTTTTGTATTTGTCCAGCACTTGGCCTGTTCTGTAGGCGGCGGACGTGTGAGTCCTGTCAATGAGGCGGATAAGACTGAACTAATCAAACGAGAAATCGACTCATTAAGGCTACGACTGGACCATAGGATAGGAGGCGTCAAAATTAGTAAAGTCGCCGAATCTTATTCAACATTTTACGATCAGTGGGCCGAATACGACCCGTTCATCACATTACCAGAACCTAACAAAGGGGTTAGTAATAGAGGGGCAAGAAATTCATAAAATAAAAAAAATATAACATTTTAATGCATTTATACACTTCATAATTAATGTTCAAACATCTCTCTCTCTCTCTCTCTCTCTCTCTCTCTCGTCTTTTGTTTAGATGGCATCCAATCCATGGATCAGTGACTCTACAGACTTTTGGGAAATGGAAAGACAAACGTATAGTTTATATATATATATATATTATTTGATTGATTTCTGGAAACAATTAATTATATATAAGTTTATAATATGAAAAACAAATAGGAAGGACGTGCCGTGTCGTCGGGTTAGACGATGGGCTTTCTCTTTGAAAGAGCTATTGAAAGATAGCGCCGGAAAGGAACAGTTCATCAAATTCTTAGAGAAAGAATTTTCTGCCGAAAATCTCAAGTAATGTCTTATTAAATAACTTTTTTTTAATATGAAATCTAAGAAAAATCAATATTTTTTTACTGTCTTTTATGTTATATAATACTGTAGTTCATAACATAATACATTACTCAGTCAATAATAAAGTTATATGCGCTATAAATGTATCAATAGTATAATGACAATTATGATATACTATACATTATATAAAAGTATAATCATTGATAAATTTATTTGAAAATTTAAAGAAAATTCAACTACAATAATGTTTTTCTTTTTTGAACATATAGTGTACATATAATGTAAACAGTGAATATAGAAATATAAATTATTTTTCAAAATAAAACTATTTTTTTTATATTAAATTTAGAGATTAAATATGCAATTTCAATATAAGTAATCAAAAAATTGCATGTGTCAAATAAATTGAATGATTCAATTTGTTTTTTTGCAGCAATAATATTGTTAATATTTTCTTAGTATTCTATAAATACTTTTTTACCAATAATGTAGTAGTACTGTGTGTACAAATAATAAGCAATTATACATTAATAATAACAATAATGAAATTTAATAACAACAATAATAAGAATTAATAATAATAATAATTTATATAAACATTTTAAATTTAAAAATCTCAAAAATACAGTATAATATTTCAGTAAACTTCATGCAAATGTAATGTTACGTTTGTTAAATGGACTTATATTATTATTAAATTTTTAAAAATTAACTTTAAAAATGATTACTATCTGAATTGATATATGTAATTTATATTAATATATTACCTTTATATATAAAGTTTATATATATATATATATTAAATAGCAGAAATAACAGATGTTTTAATATGTTATGTTATAATTATGTGTTTAGTTTCTTTATTATAAACTTTATATACCGTACAGTAATTTATTTAGTTATTTTTTATTTTATGCTTAATATATTATTTAGTATTTAATTTATCATTGTTAAACTTTAAATAAACTAAAGTTAAAATAATTTCTCAGAAAAAAATGTATTAAATGATAAAAATAACTAAAAATATTTTTAATATTTAATCGAAAAAATATTCAGGTATAATAATTCTTAGAAAATTATAATAATTGTGTGTGTGTTTATTTTTAGACAAATAAATTACATAGAATAAGCAAGGTTAGATTAAATTTTATTATTGGATGTCATGTAGGAGTCATATGAAATATCTTAATATAATATACTGTATATATAATTATATGATAAAATAATAAAATCGACATCAAATACAGTTTATTTAACAAACTTGAATTTTATACTGTTATATGATATATAAAATTAATTACTTTACTATATTACAACTAAATGAAACAATAATTATATATATATATTGTTGGATAGATTCTGGGACGCAGTCCAAGAGCTTAAATGTGTTCACAGTCGTGATGTCGCCCATAAAGTACAAGAAATATGGAATGAATACTTGGGATCAGGTAATGATGTCATCATTTTGAATGATTAACAAAATAATAGTTTAAAAAACTTTTCATAACAATTGTTTACCTCTTTCTCCCATATGTCCACAATAGACGCCAACTGTCCCATTAATATAGACTGCAAGTCCTATGAGATAACTAAGAAAAATATGGAAAGCAATCCAAATAATCGGTGGATCTTTGACGAAGCGGCCGGTCATGTCTATCAACTGATGAAAAACGATTCCTATCCGCGATATTTGCGCTCTGATATGTATAAGGAGTACTTAAATGGTACCAAAAAGAAGGTGAGTGCCGACAAACCAGTCTATTGTCGGTCAAAACAAACAAAAAACTTTTTTATATGAACTATCAATTGGCTTAAGGCTTGATTCCCCTCATATTATCGCACATAGACTTCTGTGAAAGGCATTCGTGGAGTCATAACATTTAGTGCGAAGAAAGTCGGAGATCAGTTGGCTTTGGCTGCCGCTAACACTACTACTTCCCTAACTTAGAAAACAGCCTAAAAAACAGCTAAAACAGCCAAAACAGCTAAAACAGCCTAATCAGTGATCTAAACATTATATAAATAAATATATATATACTTTATGCTCACTTTTCTTGCTCTCTATTATTATTATTATTATTATTATTATTAAATCTATAATAATTAATTGCTATCTAAATCTAAATAATAATAATGTCATTTAAATCCATCGAAACTTTTCTAAATAGTAATAATAATAATAATAATTAATTTTTTTTATTATTCTTGCTCTTATATATATATTTATATTTATTATCCGATCCTTTAATCTAATGATTTGCTGCTTTCAGTTTAAACACCACTTTGTAGTGAAATTTTGAACAAAAGGTGCGCTTTTTTGATACAAACAAATAGTTATATATTTTTATAATTGTATATCATTTTCACAAAACTATCTCCTATTTCTTTCACAAAATTTTAACCTTATGTTTCATTTGTTGCAATTTTTCCCTTTATTTCTAATTTTTGAACTAAACATTTATTTTTAAAAAATCAAAGCATTTTCTTTATCACTAAAAAAATCAGACACAAAAATACTCTATACTTTATTTTATAAATTACTCACTTTATACTTTCTGAAAAAAATTATATATTGATGTAATTATAATTATCTCTTTTTTATTTATTTTTTTTAAACCTGATTCCCGATGTACAGCACAGCCGATTCATCCCAAAACTTCCCAGTTTTAATGTCTGATCAAATGATATCAATCATTGATTATAAGCTGTGATTCAAATGAGAAAAAATTAATACAAACAAAAAAATCATAAAACACACAATACAAACAAAAATCTTTTAAATAATAATCATAATGTTATTGATTTTCACATCCAAATTATTTAATTGATAAAACATCTGTTATAATAATAAAAAAATAATAATAATAATGGATATAAAGGCTATTATAAAAATTAATAAATTATAATGATTACATTTATATATATATATATATATATATAAATATATATGTTATAAATAAATTATAAATAAATAGTATATAATATATATTATTTGAATGAAAAATTAATATTGTAAAAAATTATTGAATGACCAATTATTTTAAAAGCAAATTAATTGTTAATAATGATTAATTTTGCAATTCCATGTTATAATATTTTAAAAATTATTATAATTATAATAATGTTTAATACGTGTTAAATAAGGTTATAAATTTAATTTTGATGTTTAATATAATTATATTTATTATTTCTATAATTCCTTTTTAATAATCACTGTTTTCTTACACAGATTATCCTTATTTTAAAAATGTTTAAAAAATTCACAAATAATTATAAAAAAAAACAAAATTATTAAATAATTAACATATTTTAGCAAAACTTTGTTATAATAAGTTATTAAAATAAACATTTTATTATACATATTGTAGATTTTATTAGACAAATAATGATTGAAATTTTAAAATAAATTGTTTTAATCTATTGTTTTATTATAAAAAAATATTACATCGAAAACAATTTACTTAAAAATAATTTAATAAAAATTGCATAATAAAAGATAAAATATATTTTTATTATTTTTTCAAACGTAAGTTCCTATTTTTATTGAATTTATAAATTAATAATAATTGCTATTATATTAAATATTAATGTAATTTATGGAACCAATCATATGATTTACAACATATCATATAATTATTATTATTATAACAACAAATACAGGAATGGTATTCAAAATTTATTTAGAGAAGTATACAATAAATACTATTGTTTGTGTCATACATTTTGATGCCTTAATTAATCGTAATGAAGGTTCCGGTATTTACAGCTTATGTTTAATTGCATTAGTGATGTAAGTTAAGCTAAAATTCCTGTCCTGTCCTGTCCTGTCCTGTCCTGTCCTGTCCTGTCCTGTCCTGTCCTGTCCTGTCCTGTCCTGTCCTGTCCTGTCCTGTCCTGTCCTGTCCTGTCCTGTCCTGTCCTGTCCTGTCCTGTCCTGTCCTGTCCTGTCCTGTCCTGTCCTGTCCTGTCCTGTCCTGTCCTGTCCTGTCCTGTCCTGTCCTGTCCTGTCCTGTCCTGTCCTGTCCTGTCCTGTCCTGTCCTTGAAACACCTGTTACGTCTTGTTATTTTAAATACAACTTAATTTTTTTATAACTATTTACATATATGCAGACATGTGTATACGTAATTTAAATAGGATATTATAATAATTATTTATCTTATATTTCAAAAATAATACAAATTTTATAATAAAAATTAAATAAAATATAAATTTATTTAAATGTTTTTTTAGCAATAATTTGCGTAAAATATTTTTGTTTTGTTTGTTTTATAAGATATCCAAAATACAGGATCTTGTAATACAACAAAATCCTGTTTTACACTAGTTTTCATCGATTTAACAAAAGTCTTAATAAATGAATGTATTTATTAAAGCCATTAATTCATGACTATTATTATTGTTTTCAAATACTATAAACATATATACAATATAACATTATCCCATTGATGTCTACATTATATTTGTTTTGATAACTATGTTTCCCACATTTCTACGATTCTCCAAATTTATTACACTATTATAAATTGCTAATTTACATTGTTTTTATTTTTATAAAATTAAAATTTTAGACATTTTTTTACAAAAAAAAAAATAATAATTTAGAAAATTTTTAGTTTGTAAATATTATACAATATGTTAGGCTATTTAAAGATTTTAATTTTATTTTGACAGATAGTATTGATTTATTAGATTTTTGTGTTAATATTTTAATTAATTAACAAAAAGTCTATATTATATGGTTTAAAAAGTGGCGTTTACTTTATGAATAACAAAATAAATACATCATAATAAGTACTAATGGATTGAATATTTTTGTTAAAACTTTTTTATATACAGTAGTATTTCAGGGCTGATATGTTTGAGCAGTAAATCACTTGATATCTAAATTTAAAGCACTTTATATTGAAAAACAATGGATTGAAATGTGTTTACGAAAGCAGTTTTGGTTTTTGTTTTGACTAAATTGATGTCAAACTTTTAGGAGTCCATTCAATCGAAACAAATATATATATATTTATATAAATGGGGTTTTATTTCGGCACTCATTCAAACTTAAAGAGAGAGATACAACATATCATTCAATTTGATTACAGACTTGTGTGAAATCATTTGTTTTACTCACATATAGACTACTAATAAGTGATATTTATTTAATATACAGTATAGTACACAACAAAAATGTTTTCAATTACTAGTTTTTTACTAATAAACCAAATAATATTTTTAGTAAATTTTTATTTAATAAATATCATTTTTGTAATAATCTAACACCAACTAAATTATATTACAGTTACTAACTACACATACCATACCAACATTTATAAATAAGTTAATAATTCATATAAAAATATTTATATCGATTCTAAAATAGTATACTCATAAATTAATTTCAAATAAATAAGTTTTTAAAAAAATTAACACAAAATAAATTATTTTTGTTATTTTACATTTTATATACAGTAATCACTTAATCAATTTAGTATTTCTCAATATATTTGTTAAATACATTTATTAAACAATAATCAACATTTGACGACATAAGCAATTTTATTTATTTTTCTGTTTTTATGAAAAAAAACTTATTTAAACATATGATAAGTTATTTATTTATAATTTAATAGAAGGATGTGTATATGTAGTGGTGTTTACAAGACTATTATATAACCACATGAGTCCTGATTAGTGTCAAGTAGTGACAGTAAAATTGGTTGAATAGTTTGAAATACTTTAAGACAACTGAATAATAATAATAATAAAAAATAGTCGGCATTTTAATGGTTGCACTTTTAATGCTCTAATAATTATTATTAAAATGCTGTCTTTTAAGTGTCTCTTAAATATATCCAGACTATTAAATTCAAGACAAGTTATGCTATGATATTATTTTACTTTATATTTTGAGATCAGTGTCATCTAAAAATTGAAATTATCAAAAATATCTACAACATAAAAGGATGATGATCTTTAAGAAAACATTTATTATGTGATAATATAACATATATGAATATTTTTAAATACATATAAATAATTTTTTATATCTTTACTAAACAAAAAAAATACTTTAAATAATTGGCAATGATTTTTTTTAAAGATCTTATGTAATTTAATGTAATTCATAATTTGTAGTATTTTTAAAAATAAAAACTCATAATTTTTATTAATTAATTATAAAATTTTTTGCAGACATATTAAATAACTTTATATTTAATTCTAATTATTGTTTGTATTTCATTTCGTTTTGAAACTTATTTACAAATAAATGATTTATAAATAGATTAAAAATAAATAGTTATTTACATAAAATGAGAGTTTTGCTTATTTGTCGAATATTGTAAATTTTTTGTACAAATAATAAGACTAACATATTTTTAAAACTAACAATAAAATTTCACAGTAATTAGAGCTTTTAAATTTAAAAATTCATTATAAATCAATTCATTATAAAGACATTAACAATGTAACACAAAACAAATGCCAAATTGATTTGCAAAAGTGTTAGTGTTTTTGTGAGGTCACACACATAACTTGATAATCATATGTTATGTTTTAAAGAGTTTGTATACAATTATTTTTATGTATGTATATGTTGTTTGTTGGCCTCAGAATATATATACAGTATATACCAGAATATTCTCTATACGCCAAACGTCACAATCTATTATACTGTATACGTTATAAACATATATATATATATATATTCTGAGTTAAGTTTATATTTAGCGATTAAGTAATAAAATTTTTAAGCCGTAAAGTGTGTTATAGAGACTCTCTCTTTCTCTCAGCTTTTGTGATGACATTTTCCAAACGCAATCCCAACCAAAAACTTTTGGCATTTGTTCAGAAAAATTTCTGTTACAAAATCCCAAATCAAATCAAAACCCACTCTTTTATCTCTAAACTCTTAGACTATTTTCTTCTTCTGCTTATCGTTTCAGTTGTCGATTGGTTGTCGTTGTTGTTGTTGTTGTTATTCAAACACGAAGAGCAAAACGCTGTAGATTTTTACACTGAATTAATTGATTTGTTTTTGTTATATTTGTGGGAAATATATAGAGATTTTTGTCAAACAAACGAATGATACAATTGTCTTAAAATCCTCTAACAAAAGGATTAGACGAAAGCAATGGATTCACAACAAAGTGATAAAATGACTGTCGCTTTGCCACCGATATCAAGCAGTTCCAGCAGTTGTACAATCAAACGATCATATGTTAAGGTATTAAAAAACTAAATAAATTTTATTATATATCTTACAATAATTAATATAAATTTTTGTTATAGTTTACTTAATACTTAGTTTAGTATTTACTTTATTCTTATATATAAAAAATGAATAAAATATATAAATATTAATATATTATCCAATTCAATATATCCGTATAAATATACATATGAGATGTGATATAATATTTGTTAAATAAATATTTTTATCAAAGAGTTCATAACCGAATGTCAAGAATCTGAAAATACATTTATTTTTATATTTCTTAGAATATTATTCTTATTTTTTCTTATTATATATTATTATAAATAAATATATTTCAAAAAAAGTGAAGTCAAAAGTTTTTATTTCGTAAAATGGATTTATTGTGATTTTGTTTTTTAAATTATTAACATTTTGTTTTCATTTTGTAACACATATTCAGTTTATTTTTATTTTATATTATTATTATTTAGTTTGCAGCTTATATACCGGTATTATAGTATATTTAAATTAATGCTCATTATCATATAGTTTCCATTATATTGATATTAATTTTTCTTTACTGATATAATTATTTTAAACTAAGTTTTATGTTTTATTTTAAGAATACTGTATTTATTTTTAAAAATTTTAGTTTCAATTTCCCTCTTAGTTCTTGAAATAAAAATTTAATCTAAAATTTAGTCAAATAAATGATTCTAACTTTAATAATAATATTATTATTTTGAATAATATAGTGTAAAATAACTACTCTACTGTGACTTAATGTGACTTTTACTATGAAATGTAACTAACTTTTGGCATTAGAGACAACAAAAATTTGAAACATATATTTTAAATATATATATAAACTTTACGTTAAATAATACGAGCATTGATTAATACTTATTTTTTACTATATAACTATATGTATAAATGTTTAAAATATAAATCTCTGCAAAATTGGCAGCAAAAGTAATAGTCAATAATATCTCTGTTATGCTTTTTTTATTTATATTTTATTTCTATAAATATTTTACGACAAATTTTCACATTTTCTACTAAAGTTTTGTGAAATCTTTTTTGTTATGTTTATATATCTATCTTATAAAATTTACAACAAAATTTTATGATTATTCAGCAAAATATGTATTGTTTCAGAAAATTACATAATCATAAATTTTACATAAGTTTATGTCAAGATTATAAATGATAAACCATTTTCGGGTATTATAAACAATGTACTACAAAGTATCTAATTTTTGTTGTTATTAGTTCACTGTTTTTATTATTAGAAATAAAATATAATGTAAAGATGTTTTTTGTAATTTAATTTTTAAAATTGTATTAAAAGTAAAAATGTTAGTTAATAAAATATAACATGTTTTATATTATTAAATTGTTAAATATTAATATAAATATTAATATTTTTAAAAAATGTTGTAAAATATTACTTTTAAGACATAGACATACGGTATACTCGTACACAACTATTAATATACATATATAGTATAATAATATAATATAATTGACGTTATGTTAACTTAATGTTTTAGGTGACCTCTACTTCTACCTCTACGTCCACAGAATACAGTTCCAGTAGTAGTGAATGTTTGCCAACTTTTGTTATCTCATCAAACAAGAAGAACTCTTATGAACATAATGTGCGCGAATTGAGGAACCGATCGGAGTCTCCGGAGCCGACAAATCGACTTAAGTTTAGTGACAATTCTTCTGGTTATGGATCGACCACTTCATTCTCATCAGCCGTTCATTCCGTAAATAAGACACCTTCGCTACAGTTTGTAGTGACAACAGGCTTATCACGACAACAACAACAACAACAGCCGTTGTCACTCTCGTCAAGCGATAAGAAGATTGGAAAACTAATGAATGGACAGACGATTAAAGAAAATATAATCACTGTTTTGGATCAGATCGACAAAAGGGTTGCTTTCTTAAGAGAGACGGCACATGAACTGGAAGTGGAGAAAAACAAATTACATCGAGTGCTCAATTCAATCATCACTAGCGATCAATTAGATACCGTCGATGAAGGTATGGATAGTTTACTATACTATATATTTAGCTTTTATTTTATTAAACATATAATATAAGTAGTAATACTGTATTTATAATATGTTTGTCATCAATAATAGTGTTTTTTGTGTGATTAAGAATTAATTTATTTTATTTATTAATTAAAACTAAACACTGGTTTTCATTGAAACAGTCGATAGGGAAGAGATAAAAGTAACATCTCATGGATTACTGTATCGATTGAATAGTGTAGACGTTATACTCAAAACCAACCGAAACAAGTCTCAGGAGAAGGCATTAGAAACAGTGAACAATGCCATTGAAAAGCTGTCCGATTGTGCAAAATATGACAAACAGTCGGCCAAACAATTATGTCAGTCGTATCTGAGCGCCTGTAGTTCTGACCATAGCTTTAAATCGCAAACGTTTGACGAGGCTTTTCAAAAGCAGATCATTGAGTGCACTATTGACGACCAGAAGAGGATTAAGAAAAGTTTGGAAAATATTTTCCATAACATTGACATCAAATAGTGACTCAAACTAAATGTATCGCAAAATCACTCGTATTTTGATATATCATATCAACGATCATATATGTATTGATATATCAATATATGAGTTGGATTTGTCAAACAAAAAAACTCATTTATAATAATATCTAATATAATATATACAATACAAGTGCAACACTTTTTTGAATTATGGTTTTTTGTGATTTATTATATATTTATTGCATATATTTTATTATTTACTTACCATTTATTATTTATTACAAAATTTATACTATTTGCCTAAAAAAATATATAGTAAAATAATTTGTATATTGTTTTATCCATTTTATCGGTTTTCTTAGTTAAGTAATACAATTGTATTGTGCTTTTTCTTAGCTTAATTTGATTGCCATGATTTTATTTGAAATTATTATTACTACACAAATAAAGCAATAAAATACTTAATAGATTATCTTAAACATAATAAAAATATAATTATAAATAATGAGTTGTGTTTTTGTTTGCCATGATTTAGTTATAGATTATAATTTAACTTATAGTCTAGACCTACCCATTGCTAAAGTTTGACTTGTATTATAAATTAATACAATCATAATTATACATAAATCACAATTTATAAATGTCTTAAATAAATTGTTATATAAATTTACATAAAGATTTTTGTCAAATACAAACTCAATTATATATTCAATCAAAACGCTGCCTTAATATACATATATTTATAGTATACAGTATTTAACAAATAAAAAACAAAATCAACTTTAAACAAATAAGATTAACTATATAATTTTATAAAAATATTATATAGTTTTAAGTTTATCTGATAGCATCGCAATTGCTTTAATAAAATTAATTATTAAATTGTGTTTCTTATAAAATTATATTATACATAATATTTTTTATAAATTAAATTATTAAATAATTTTGGTTGTGTAGTCAAATAATGTATTTACTAAATAAATTATAAATTGTTTTTAAATTTATTTTATTAATTTAATTTGTTATATAATTATTTCAAAAGTTTTACAATATATACATATATTACAAGATTGTCATTAAAGGGAAACTGTAAAAACAATGAACAGTAGACTCATATGTTTTATTTATATTTATTAAATATATATTTATATATATATAAGTTTTAACTGTGTATATAATTATTTATTTATAGGCACTGATATTATATAATATTACTAACAATTTTAATTAATATCACAAAATAATATAAAGTAGATTTAATGAAAATGATTTTAAGGGATTTGTAATTTATAACAAAAATTACATTTTTTTACTTTTTTATATTGAATTCATATTTTGTTTTGTTTTAAAGTTTTACACATTTTTGTTTAAAATTAAGCTCAATATAGGTTTTTAGTGTAAGTGTATGGAGGTAATGATAATAACAAAAATAACATTAATTTTTAATAATATGACATCATTTAAATGCTCTAATAATTAAACAAATATTTTTTATGATAATAATGTTAATTAATAGACAATTTTTAAATATTTTATAGTAAATATTACTGGAATAAAATAATAATAATAATAATCTAGTTAAAATGTGAAATTTATTGTTAAAAATTTAATATAAGATTATTATGTTATTTAAGAAAAATTTATTACTTATTGCTTATATAATAAAGTTTACTTAATGTAGTAATAATATTATTTAATTATATGTAATTTATATTAAAAAGAGAGTTTATGTTTTTCTGTTAGAAATATGTATTTTTTGCATAAAATTATAGAAAAAACATGTTTTTAATGAGAGTTTACTATCTTTGAGAAAATGAATTTTGTGTAACAAATGTCGAAAAAAATTATTTAAAATAGTCTTCAAAAATGTCAAAACAAACTTTTTATTAGAATTTATGAATTTATATAATTTATAAAAAATGAATATTAACAGTAATAATAATAATTATTATTATATAGCATTTAAATTTTTTAAAAATTATAAACTCATTGGTTATATTAAATTTTTATATAATAATATATTCTATATAACAGTAAATGTAATAATCTTTTTATAAATAATTTATTGAAAATTTTTTGTTGTTGTTATCTCTACTGTAATTACTGTAATTTAATAAAATTTTCTATTAAATACAGTAAATACACGAGAGATACTGTATATACCGTATAGTATAACATTATAAGTGTATATTTAATCAAAATAAGAGTATCGTACAGTAAATATGTATATATATATAATATAATATATATATTATATATATATACAGTATATATATATATAAATTTATATAATTGAATATATTGTGATAAAATGATGTGTGAGCTATAGGTGAACTGTCCTTCAACTGGTGATGTCTTTTATGGTGTCTATAGCTTGGAAGTGAGGTCCTGGTCATCGTCGGTGTTGTCCACCTCTTGTTCTGCGATCTCGTTCTCCAACATTGCTCTCATCTCTTCAGTCTCGGTGTTGGAGTTTTCTGACACTTGTTTTTGTAATGTTTTATCAGTTTTTCTATGACTACTACTACTACTACTTAAGTTATTAGTCCGTATGGGCACTGATGGGATGGGTCGATGAGAGACAACTCTGTGACCAATTTTGTCGGCACTTTTAGGATCTTTTGACTCGCGCTTTGAGTCGATCCTATTTTTGACAGCACTTTCTTCTTGTAATCTGTTTTCCTCTCTTTCATCGAAAAAGTCATTATTTTTATTGGAGATCACAGACAGTGGTTTTGTTGTCGACTTGTTATCAGCACCGGCAGAATTGGTACCAAACACAAGGTTTGAATTGTCATCACTTTTGACATTAATAACAGAAAGCTTTTTGACGATATCTACAATGTGTTCATCAATTTTAGTCACTTTATTACTTAGCTTTTGTATCTCAAGCTTGAGATCAACTCTCATGTCTATTAGTGAAGCAATAATTTGTTGATAATCTGCACTATTGATGCTTTTGGGTTGAATCACAACTTTAGTTGAATCACTTACACGTGTCTGTCCTCCTCCTCCTCCTCCTCCCTGAACTCCATCAGAGTCTACAGTTTGTGTTTGTGGCACTCGTTTACCATCACTATCTTGAGGTTCAGTTGACTCTTCAATAGTTTCGGGTCGACCGCTGCCAACTCGGGGCCATTTATTTCCCTGAGTCGGGGGTCGTATGTCTTTGACGACATGAATGTGATCAGACTTTTTACAAACTAATTCTGTTCGTCGAACGGCTCCTATATTTTGATCGTCTCTATCGGCGTACTGTTTGTCCGACATCTGCATCTCAGTGTCAGTGAGATCCCGATGTCGAGGCATTTCAATTGGGTGTTGTTGTTGTTGGAACTGTTGTTGCATTTGTTGTTGTTGTTGCTGAGGCTGTTGTGGTTGTTGTTGTGGCACTGGTATACTATTATTATTAGTATTAGTTGTAGTATTATTATTATTTGGTACATTATGCGTTGCATTAGCCAATATATTTGCCCACTTTGAGCCTTTACTACCACCAGTGCTGCCCCTGGACTCGGGCTCAGAGCCGGGCAGTGGTCGTGGTTTAATTGGTTCGTGCGTTTGTATAGATTGTGGCATTTCTCCCTTTTCGATGTCTTGTAGAATATTTGGTTGATTGGTTTGTCCTCCGGGGCCACTAGAACCGGGACGACTGCCTATTTGGGGTACACCGCTATCGGAGGGTTTGCGAAATTTTGAAAACATTTTCCTAACAATATGGTCCTGAGCTAAGTCGGGCACCGGATCATTCTTGCGCCTCTCTGCCAACTCCTGTTCCCGTTTAACATCAGCTACTTTTCTAAATATTAACTATAAATATATTGAAAGAAACAAAACAAAGAATAAACAGAAATAACATTATATTGATTGAACAATAAGTATTGAAGAAAATTAAGAAAATAAAAAAGAGATAAAAGCAAATTACATAAAAATTAGATAAAAAATGATAAAAACGTGAATAAATTAAATTGAATGACAATATATTGGATAACTTTATAGAGTCTAAGTTTCTGATATTTATATTATACAATATAAATGAATGCACGCAAAAAAGCAATAAAATTTTGTTAGAAAAAACATAAATTGAATAATCAATGCTATTATTATTATATAATTTCTATAATGACTAGACAGTGATCAGCAGCACCGGTATTATTTTGTAGGCCTTACCCTATGTCTAAGATTATATGTGAGCACCAGATTTCTGGCAAATGAGTTGGCAAATGCCTGATAAAAGTTAAGCACTTCAATGAGTTTATCCCTTTTGATAGCGTGAAGATCGCAATAAGTGAGGGCCCGCACGTTAGCACAGGACTGGCCTATTGTGGGCTCTTTCCAAAAGGCATCACCGAAAACGTCTCCCTTTCCTAATATTGCTACAACTTCATCCTAATAAAAAACAATATAATAGTTAGTAAAGTTACTAATGATCTTAAAAAACAACAACAAATAAAGAAATATAAAGACATATGTCTTCATAAATTTTTGTAATTTTTGTTTTGTTTGTTTGCAATCAAAAGCCAAAAAAAATATATATTTCTAATTCACTCACGTCTTGTATGACTTCCAGAGACCCCGATATTACAAAACAGAGTGAATCGATCGATTCTCCGACGTGATAGAGTAGATCGCCGGGTGCGCTGTGATCCATACTGAAATACATGGCCATTGCCCGCAAACACCCATCGGAGGCGAGTCTGAAGGCCGGGTGTTCGTTGAAGACTTTGCGGTTTAGGTGTACACATATGTCAGCCGTCATATCTTTAGGACAATAGCTCAACACCTTTTTCGTGTCGATTCCTTTACTCATAGCCCACGTCGAGACCACATAATCCATGACACGTTCGCTCAGGGCTTTTGGCAATTCGTGTAATTTCATGAATTCCCGCACATTGTTCAACATATCGTGATATTTAGCCGTTGCCGATGTCATCTGCTGGATGATTGTCGTCACGTGACCAAAAATTGTAGCGTATAACAGGGCTATTCAACAATAGAATAGTGAACCGGTATGTCAGTTACAACATATATTTTTTTAATATAACGGTTCTCATCAGTAAATATTCAGAAATTGTATTATTAATAATATAAATATATATAAATAATGTATTGTTTTTCTAATAAATTTTCATCTCATCTGACATTCAATATTAGCCACGACTGTCAATCGTGTGATAAATTGAAAACTAAAACAAATGCTATTGACTGGTTATTTATTATAATATATATATTGTATACTGTATATAAATTTATATATATTGTATGCATATTGGATAACTTAGATAAAAGATTTATACGCCTGTTTATAGATTGAATGTGTTATTATTATATATAAGTGCCATATATATAATATATGGGTCCATTACCTCCAATAACCATCATACAAATGGTAAACACTTTTTCGTTGTCCGTTTCTGGGGCCACATTACCGAAGCCCACACTAGTCATACAAGTCATTGTAAAATAAAGTGATGTTATATACATAGTCTGTCTCTCGGGTCCGCCCACGAGCTCTATTTGGTTTGAAATATTGTTCGGTCGTAAGTGGAACGGGAACTAGAAATTAGAGAACAGTTGGGTCTTAATTTAATTTAATTTAATCAATTTCAGTTTTTAGATTATTTATAATTTATATGTTGCAACTCATTATTTTTTAATTATATGTTTAATTATTATTTATGTTTAATATTTTTAATTTATTATATTTTTAATTTAATTATATTATATCTATACCTGAGTAACATTTCCGAGTTTCCAAAGCCAGCTATAAGTTAACCAATTTTCTGAATCACTGCGCCCTATGCTATACCATATACAGGCCAACCAATGGGCCACAAGCATATAAAAACATAGTAATAATATAAGCATTGCAGCACCTGTAGGTTAGTAAAATACAATACATAGTTTAATATTAGTCCATTTGATTTTGCATATATCAAACAAATATAATAATGATAATCATTTTTAAAATTAAACATAAGATTTTATGTTTACTTTTATTTTTTATTCGCCTTAAAATCACATTAAGTTTGTAATCAAAGTTAGTAAACTATAATCTTATAGAGTATTTATATACATAGTGTATACTTATTCTATATAATTTATATACTGTATTATATAATCTAATGTAATACTTATAACAAAATCAAGTATGTATGGAATATATATAAATATATATAAATATTTAATGATATCAAAGTCAATTTTATATTACATATTGAATATAATGTCAATAAATTGAGTGCAATTTTAATATTTAAAGAATATATCTCTATAATATGTTCACTATTTTTAAATTATAGTCAAACAAAATTATTATTATTATTTTATATATATACTGTATATATATATTAGAAAATGATACCTCAGAATAATGTTTTTTATTAAAAATAGAGAATACAGTAAAAAATTATTTTTAAAGAAAACTAAAATACAATTTTCAAAATAATAATTCCCTTTAATATAATATTTTGATAATACGTGAATATTCAAAGAATTTTAATGAAGTTTCCACTAAAAGAAAAGAAAATAAGAGAGAAAGAGAAAGAAAGAGAGAGAGAGAGAGCAGAAAAAATTGACAGAAGAAAAGAGTTTGTCTACTATTTTAGTGATCCCAATGTGTTAAACAAAACAAAAAAATCCAATTTTCTTAAGATTTTTTTTCTGGGGTTTTAATAATATATATACGGAATATACAGTATATGACTATACAAACCATATTCAAGATATCGATCAAGTTTTCTAACCACTCTTCCCAGTCTAAGGAGTCTCACAACCTTTAATGCACTGAATAGACTACCGATTCCTTGCTGTGTATATACAGTCGTGTTGTTGTTATATTTGAGTTGTTGTTGTATGCGTGCAATGGTATGCAATAGAAATGAAAATTGAAGATAAAATTAAAATTTATCATTATTACATATAAATTTATATAGAAAATAGAGTTGAGAGTGAGTGAGTGCGTGTTGTGTGTAAGTGAGTGGGTAAGTGATGCAGCATTGAGGACATGGAGAAGATGTTTGGTTTTTTCTGAGTAGGGGACTAATGGTCTGAACAATATTGCAATGCAATGGCACTTACATTATCCGTGTGGTCGAAGGCATTAAATATATCGTAGGGCAGACACGACAGTAAGTCAATTATGAACCAACTTCTCAAGTAATTCATTCTAATTATTTTAGGATCGGACACAACTTCACCGCCCGGACCCACAAAAGTTGTGTGAAAGTTGAGCACAATATCGATAAAGAATATCACGTCGACTATACTGTTGTTTTCAATGATAAAATATAGTAACAAATGTTAACATAATTACAAGTTATATAAATTTAATAATAAGGGTTAAGAATTTATTGATATGTGTTTCTAATACTAAAGCAAACTAATATTTATTATAAATGACATCCAAAATTAATTTATGCTATAATTTAATAGAAATCTTATACTAACATATATTAGACTTTACTACTACTACTACTTATAAAATAAATTTTGCTAATAATACTAATAATACTGTATGTGATTTAAATAAGACTAAAATTTCTAGTATTTATGCAAATTATTTTATTTGTTTTATTAACTTTTATTGTTTATGCAATAATTTTAATTAATGTATTGAAGAGTATTGAAGTATTTATGATATAAGGCTATACCTGTCGAGAACCAGAAGAGTGACGTCTTCGGATGTCTTATTTTTGAAGGCGACGTTATAGGGAACCATTATAGCCGTATAAAATGTCAGACATAAGATCACCCAATCCCTGCATAATCATTAAAATGACAAAACAAAATGCAACACATTTTAATGGTGTCATACATTAAAAGTCTCTGTTTTTATGTCTCTAATTAATGAACTGACAATAAAAGTATCGCATTTTATGCTTTCCAAGAACTTAGAAATAAGTATATAATTTATATTATATATATATATATATATTGTATATAAATGCGGGAGCACTTGAAGATATAAAGTGGACAGATAGCCAAAAAAATAAATGGTCATAAAATAGTCATACCAGATAGCTTTGAACGCGCAATAGTGGAGTAGTATATGTGGCGGTGTTTTGGGCGCTTCCTGACGATATTGGGGCAGAACATCGGCATTGAGGCTCATTAACTGTAAACCATAAAACCAGATAAATTTAGGACCAATTTATTAGTTAAAACAATAGGTTTAAAAATAGATGTGTTTGTTTGCGTGTGTTTGTGTGTATGTATATGTGTATGTATGTGTGTATGTATGTGTGTATGTATGTGTGTATGTATGTGTGTATGTATGTGTGTATGTATGTGTGTATGTATGTGTGTATGTATGTGTGTATGTATGTGTGTATGTATGTGTGTATGTATGTGTGTATGTATGTGTGTATGTATGTATGTGTGTATGTATGTGTGTATGTATGTGTGTGCACCCAAATGTTGTTAGTTTTTAGCACAACCATTACCGAGACCACTGTAGTACAGTGTATATATATCATTGGCATAGTATTATTACCCAATCGTTTAGCACCGAAAATAACAACAAAAACAAATTAAGCCTTAAGTATAAACTCTGAGACAAATTAAGCAAAAGAGATAACTCTAAAAAAACGTATGTAAAGGTGCTGTTTGTGTCGATCCAACTAACAGTAGTACTTCTAGAAGTCTAGTCTAATTAATTACTAGTTTATTATCTCTTGGATTCACTTTTATCTATCAAATATAATCATAATTTTTGTCCGAAAATCCTTTCATTAATGCTAACAGTAATTGAATTTTCTTCGAAACACTGGAAATATGTTTTCATTTAATTTTATTATACCGTTATTTAAAGATTTTATATAATTTGCTTTACCAACAAAAAAAACTTATGCAATATATCACTAACTTTTTTTGTTAACCATACTAAAAGATACTAATGTTTTGACTATATTTTGTATATTAAATTTTTTTATTGTAGTCCATAAAAATTGCAGCTCTTATAATCCATCGGGAAAGAAACGGTATATATTTATTGTTTGCTATATCCAAACAATAATATATCAAATAATACTAAACAAACAGAAAAATTGTTGTGAAAGTGAAAAAAATAATAGTAAAAAATTGGTAAAAAGCTTTAAACCACTGAGGAATAGACACATTTGAATACTCGAGAGATCGGCTAAAAAGGGATGTATTGTTTTAACACCATTGAGATGTATAGATATTTATATATAAGCTATAAATGCGCCAAAAGTGTGTCCAAAGTGATTACAATTCATATGTACCTCAACTCATATTTTGTGATTACTATTTATTTTTTTCTGTATTATTTATATATTTTTTGTTATATGTATTATTATTACAATTATATCATAATAATAATCATCTGTCGTAATCACTTTTTCTCAAAAATTCATTTAAACAAAACTAGTAAACAAAAGTTATACAATAGATAATTTAATTAAAATAAATGTTATGTTTTATAATTTAATTATTTAATACAATATATACATATATAGATATAGCGGTATATACTGTATAATTTAATTAAAACAAAATGATAAGAAATGAATGTCTAAAATTGAATTACTTGTATAATAAGTTGATTATTTTTTATACATATTATATATTTTTTAATTTAATTATATAATACTATAATATTTACAATTTTTAAGCATTTATGATATAATATATTTATAATTTATTCTAAATATTTTCAGTATATCTGTTAACATAAAAAATTGATTTAGTTATTATCTTTAAATTATTTAATTTTGTGGACCTAGTTCAATAATATTATTAAATAATAAACACAATTTTACCCCTAAAACAATCATTACTTTAATTAATATTATTATTATATTAATATTTTTGTTATTTGATTAGTTTTGTGTGAAATCTAATAATACCATAACATATAAATAAATCAATTTAATCTTTTTTTGGTTCACATTTCAACTAACAAAAATGCGAATTTAATAATAATATAATAATAAATGTAACATAAATTGGTGCAAATAATAATAATAATTGTTAATGTACACTATTGTAAATTTACTATTATTAATATATACACTATACACACCATTATCTGGATTACTATACATGTATAAAGATTACTATTAACAATAAATCCCAAATAACATTATTGATTCACAAAAAAATTATATACAGATATTATAGTCCATATAAAACAATATTGTTTCACATAAAAAGTTATGTAAGAAAATGCTTATAATTTTCATTTGTATTTTTTGCGTTTACTATTTTGATGTACAAAACAAAAAACACTAACAACAACAACAAAATAAGTTAAATCAAATCAAAAACTAGTATTATCTAAGAGAAACAATTTTTGTTGTTATTGTTGGATCTCATAAAAAACTATTTTCCTCGTATCCACTGATAAACACAGTTATGTAATGATAGAAAATAAAGTACAGTAAATATATATATATAGGTATATAAAACTTTGTTTAGTTATTATTATTATTGTGAAAGTGAAGGCACATGAGATTCAATGGGTATTTGGCGTTTGAAAAGATAAAAAATGTTGTTTTAAAATTGAAAATATCAAATTAGGTCTCATTTTTTATCAATATATATAAATACCTCTATAGTATTGTAAAATAGCAATAAAAACATAGTTATGTAATTTGAGTGCAATATTATTATTGTTTTTGTTTTCTTTAGTTGACTATTAAGTTTTATATATTTCATATGTTTCATATGTTTGAAAATAATAATTTAGTAAAAAAATATAAAAAATAAAATTTAGTGATACATACGTGTCCGAGACTGGATTGTTTGGTCGTTTCTGATTTGATGATTGGAAGGTGCGATGAGAACTGTTGTGCCAAAACAGACCGACTTCTGGTCACCGATCGGGCCAATCGGGCAAATTTGCTCAGACCTTTGGCCGCGTCCTCTTCGATGGGTTGTTTGAGTGCAGTTATGTCGCGAAATGTGAGCAAAAACAGGACGACCACATCCTTCTCGTTTTTGATGGGAGCGATGTGTAAGAGAAGCCATAATGGAGTCCCTATTGATGGACACACAGATACACACAAAGCAAATATACAGATAAATTAATTATAAAATACATTGTGTGAAAAAACAGGGGACAGGTATTTGGTTGGAGTAGTCATCTACAGAAACAGTAGTTTGAGTTTTGAATTTTAGCATCAATTTGAATCAAACCTAACTTTATATCTAAAATAATATTTTTTTTCTAGATTTGAGTTTAAATTCTAGATATTTAAAAAATTTTATTTATTGATTTTTTAAAAAAAATACTAAGAAAATATTAATTATAGAAATTGTTGTGTATATTAGTCATTATGTATTGCTATTCAATAATTGTTTTGTGAGATAAATCCATAATTTGTTTTATAATCAAACATATGATTTAAAAATGAATTGCCAACTATTAAAAAGATTATTACTATTATTATTAATATAATATATCTTATTAATCAATAGATGTCATACAATATATGAGTTGTATTTGATTTAGTTTTAATAAAATATATAAAATAAAGGTTTTTATTATAAAATAACTCAATTACTATAAATTATAATTCATTTTTTAATAGAAGAAAAAATTATATTAGTTGACTAACTTTGAACTAATTGAAATTAATTGAAATTTGTTACTATTTTAACCATTGTTAATTCGTTTTATATCAATATAACAAATATATATTTAATGATAAACTAAAAAATTATATGCAAACAAATTCTTGATTGATTTCACATTACGCGTAACAAAATTTAATACAAATGTCATATGAGTATACCTTATACACGGTTTATATGAATACTAATACAAATATTAATTTCATTTATTACTTAATTTATTGAAAGTAATAAAAAAATTGTTCATAAAAATAAATCGAAAAATACAATGAAAAAATAAATAACAGTTTTTGCTATATTTAATATCAATCATATACTTTTGTTTATAATTTGTAAATTTTTAAAAATGTATGTCAAGCCCTACACCGATATTAAGTATAAAAGTTTAGGTCATATTATGTATACATAGCATATAATGTTTTTTAGATAAAAAAAGTAAAATATGATTAAATGAATGAATATTGTATGTACAGTGTGTGTGTGTATGAGTGTGTGTGTGTGTGTGTGTGTGTGTGTGTGTGTGTGTGTGTGTGTGAATGTGTGTGTGTGTGTGTGTGTGTGTGTGTGTGTGTGTGTGTGTTGAAAAATGTACAATATAGGCGACCCCACCCAAAGAATTTGACAAACAATTATAACATTTATATATATATATAAATAATATGCGGTAATAACTGATTCAACTTCAACCTTGTCCGACATATGCCAGCCATCACTGCCATAGAACCGGTATATATAATATATAGCTAAAAACATAACCAGTGTTGCAGTTAACTGTCAATTAATAACATTTGCAACCATGTGTTTAGCATGAATATAACATAGCATACATAACACCACAGAATCTATACAGTACTGTATATACATTTTTTTGTGTTATTAATATTTTTATGCAATGGATGCGTTAATACATTAATAATAATTTTTGTGTTGCAATGAAAATTTTTTGATGAAATATTACTGTGTAATATCGTTTTTTTATTGGCCTAAAATACTAAATTTTAACATTTAATTTAACATTTTAACAAACTGACATAACATTTATTATCAAAAAAGTATCACTAAACAAAAAATATATGCGACAAATGTTTTATTCAAATGTATTGCAACAATAAGTCCAATGATAGATAAGTTTGAAATTATTCTGTATTAATCTAATTATATGATTAAATGTCCAAAAAATGCAAAAAATACTTATAATTATATTATTCTAATTACTCTATATATTAAACATTGTTTTGACAATACAATATATAAATGTTATAAAAAAATTAATTTACACAAACAATTTTAAACTTCAATATTGTTTAATTAATAATTAAGATTAAGTTATTATCCCTATACTTTAAAAACTACAAATATATTAAAAATGTATAATTATATAATATTAATAAGTGCAACGTTGTTTATGACAATAAAACTATTGTTATATTTATAAAATATTTACAGTATTTTAGAAATTTTTAAATTGAATTTTCAAAAAATACAGTTTAATAATATATCAAGATAAATTAGATTAGCAATAAAACATTTTATATATTTTGTCTCTTAAATGTTTTTAAAATTATGATATAAAATCCCTGTCATATAGTATATCCCATATACTAAATAAATCATAAATTTTTCAAATAGTGTCGTTAAACAGCCTAATACTTTAAATGTAAAAATTTTGTTTTAAAAATTTGTGTGACAGCTTAAGTTAGATTAACTAATAAAACACTAAACTTGATATACAATAGATATTTATATAATACTATAATATATATATATATATACAAAAATCATAATTTATTGATAGATATATAGATTTGAAGTTTTTATATCTATCTGTAGTATTTATATTTAATATTATTAGACACTTACTGTACTGTATTATACAATATCTTTATTGATTTTTGTATGATGTTACATTAAATAATTAGATAAAATTATTTCAAATAAATAATATTATATTTATATATTTGTATCATTAAAAAAATAATGCCACCAGGATCACATGAAAGAGAGAGAGAGAGAGAGAGAGAGAGAAATACTGATTTTATTAATGTTGTTATTATTATAATTATTATATCTATTGTATTTCATAGCAATTATACACCCAATTAAATGTTAACTAATTTTTGTAATTTATATGGATTTTCATTGTGATTATACTATAGAAAAAACATTAATGAAAAAACACGTTTTAAGCAATAAAACAAGCTTTAAGTTAATTATTTTATTGAAGTTTAGTAAAATTTTGTGTTAAATTTACTTTTGTTTTATTTTCTTAATTAATATAAAAAATTGTATTTTTCTTTATCTAATTAAACTTTATCTAAGTCTCAATAATAGTTCATTTGCTATAAATAACAAAGATTTTACTTATAATACGTGTATTATTTATATTTTTTAGTTTCAAACTGTTTATTTAAATTAATAATTTTGAATTATTTAATTTAATTGAATTATTTAATTTAATTGAATTATTTTTTATTAGTATAAAATTAGGAAAATAATTTTTTAGTAATATTTTAAAAATCAATATTTTTGTTAATACTGCCTCTCAATTTCAATTGCTTTAAATAATTATTTATTAAATGTAAAAAACGTTTGATTATTATTAACAAAAAATAGCGCAAACTTATAGATTTTTTTAATATAATAAAAGATTGTGTATTAAAAAATTAAGAAAATTTCTTTTAAATTTTGTAGACATTTTCTAATTATTATTATGAAAATTATTATTTTGCCAACATTTTTATAATACTAATATCAAAATTTTATAGTTTTGTTTATTAATACATTTAGAAATTAATAGATAAGTTAATTCAAGTTATGTAAAATTCAAATAATAATAATCAATCAATATTTTTGTAGACAAACACTTTTTCAGGTATAAGTTGTTTATTGAACAGAAGGTCTCCACAAAAATTTGAATTATAAGATAATTTCAATTGAATTTGTGTCAAATCAATCATTTGAACCGCAAAACCAAATTCAATACATTTGCCATAAAATTTTATTTTACAAAATAAAATGTACAACTCATGAATATTTTATTATCACTATATATATATATATATATATATATTAATATTAATATAAATTTTATTTTCTATAATAACAAAAAAACTATTTTTTCAAAAACTTCTAAAGATAGACTTTTAAAGTTCAAAAAATCTAAATATAATTTTATAAAAAATATAAAATAAGACTATTTTAATTTAAATTATTATTTACTGCATAATATTATTTCAAAATGTCCCTTATCATTTAAGTAAACGTTGTGTATTTATTAAACTTTAGTATTATTATTAAAAATAAAAATGTAAATATTATTCAGTCAATCAAACTAGTAATAAAATTATGTAATTAATTGATTAATTTTTATTTATAAAATTGATTTTTAAAATTTTATTTAAATCTTTACTGTTTAACAGAAAAAGTCATTATACATTATATGTGTCCTATAAGTGCATAAATACAGTCAATTGTGAAACTAACTGATTTAGTAAACTATTGTCTTTACATTAATTATAAATTTAATTAATTTGTTTTTATTATTAAATAATTTATGCAATATAATATTATATAATTAAAGTTAATTAATTAATTTGTTTATTAAATAAAAATATATTAAATCTTAAATATTTGTTGATTATAATATAATTTTACTTTTATTACTATTTATTACTTAAATCAATATATTAATGTAAAAATATACATAATATATTAAATTTATTCACATACATTACATTTCAATCATTCAAATAATAAATTCCTAATTATGTACACAGATATGACATTTGTATAAATTATAGATATTATATAAAAAAGGTTTAAATATAATAATGCTATCATTGATTTGAATTACAGTTATACTATTTTATTGATATAAACTGTTTATGCAATCCTAACATAACAAGACTTAATGAATATTATAAAATTTAACTCACAAATCGTCAACAAAAAAACAAATAGTTATTCATTTCAATATTTTATAAAATAAATAAATAATTGCAGATATAATATATATTTTTGACCCTAAAATTCAAGAAAATCAAGAAAAAATCATTTATTTATTCAAATTAAATATAAACATTAATATATAAGTTTCTCTATCTATTTTTTTGTTATTTTTATTGTCAAACACACACTCACACACACACACACACTCACACACACAGTCACACACAAATTTATTTGTTTACTCACTCACTAATCTATTCATTTTATATACTGTATTCTCAATCATATTTTTTATAAGTAAATCAAAATATTCAATTTTATATTTCAAATTCACATTTAGTATAAAAATAAATGTTAAAGCATTGAACAACACACAGCAAAAAAATCGATTTCTTTTAAAAACAGTTATATTTATCCAAAAAATAGTGCAACTGTTGTGTGTTGTTATAAAATAAA